TAATGATGACCTCATTTTTTAAATGAGAAAACAGGGAAGTCTGACAGAAAGCATGAAGCACAATAATTCTTATCCCTCTTCATCTGAAACACTCACACATGGTTTATATTAGCTTATATACACCAGGTGAACCTGAACCTTTCTAAAAACCAGATAGAAACTAATTATCCTTCACCTTGGATATAGTCTCAATAACTATTAAGAACTTAACAGCTTCAAATGTAGGATAAAAGGGCTTGAGAAACCATGAGAAAATAAAGAATATTTCCTGGACACACAAGTCCTCAAGTCACAACATTTTCACAGAGTTTTTGTCCCCTTTGGATTTCAACAGCCGTGGGTCAACTCACCCATGTGGGAAAAGGATCGACTGTGAATTAAAAAATAAAGATTTGGTTTAATATTTAAACAAAATCTAGCTATTTGGTATAAATATGAGGACCAGAAACCATCCTCATAAGCAATTATATTGCATCATTTTGTCCCACAGTTGTCTTTTAATGAATAGCACAGTTAAATAACCATAAAATACACATTTCATGCACAAGTCAATTCAACTGCATTCAACTACTATTGACTGCTTTCATTCACCACCTGAGCAAGCTGGCTCCTCCTGATTACACAAAATATCCTAGTTATTGCACTTCTACGTGACATATTCACACACCAAACTATGAGTATTTAGAGAGATGGAGAATTATTGTCAATTGCCAAAATGCATTTTAGTTTTTACAAATAGCTCATTTCTAATTATTTTGAGGAAACGCAGTGGGTGACTTGCCAAAGACATCATACTGTGAAAAATTGTTGCCGACTTAAGTCAAGCAAGCATGTGACCTAAAAGGTGAAGACAGCAAATACATGACAGACACGAGCGTGATCTCATTTTGTGGTTCCTCCTTTCCCATCACAGCAGCTGGGCTGTCGTCATCTTCATTGCAGCGGCGCAGATGGAACGACCCAGAAAAGCCACCATGGTTAAATGAGGTGAGGAGACTTCTTGATAACTCTATATGCCTCAAAATAACTGCTTATCATGTCCTTTTTGCACACAAAACTTCTGTTCTCCGGCAACATCAATAGTGTGGGAAAAGCATCGACTGTAAAATCAAAAAGAACGATTTACTAAACAAAATCTAACAATTTGGTATAAATATTAGGGAAATAAACGGGCTCTGCCATTTTTCAAACAGTGCACCTGGTTCATGTTTTGGGCCCTTTTATGCAGGAGCCAAAAACATGTGTGGCTATAATGACTTCGTTTGTAGGTTTTTTCGTCGAATGTATGTTTAAAAATAAAATCTAAACGATAGATTTTGTTGCTCCTTTGTGTGAGGATTTGTTGCTCGGAAAGGGAAACAAAATCCGCTTTGAGTCACATTTTGGCTCAGAAAACAATTCATGTGTGTCACTGTTTGTGTGTTTCTGATTACGGTGGGGTAAAAAAAAAACAAAAAAAAAACAGTTATATATAAATTATTGGCCAATAATTGCAGAACCAAAATAATTCAGTTGTTAGGCAACAACAGGAAGTGCTACGGTTGAGCAGTTTTGCTGTCAGTGTTTAAAGCATTACTCGATGCAACGACATTTACCCCACAACTAGACACCAGCTGTTTATTGGTATCAGTGGACCCCTTTAAAAATCTGTAAGAACAAACTGTTCTTACAGTGTAAACTCTTTTTAATGATGGTCCAGAGAAAGTGTTGGAGTGAAAAGACTTCTCTTTAGCTGTATGGAGCACAGAGGAAAGCAGCAACGCTACTCCCCCACTTGCACATTTTAAGCTGCAAATACATTGAAACTGAAAGAGCACCACGCATTGCTCTTATTAAGATGACACTTGGCCACGAGTGGCTTCCACCGTCAGCAGACAGCCCAACTAATTAATCGGCTAATGACAGCTTGGTAAACTCCTAGTTTTAATTGACGTGAAACAGAAACGTTTGCACATTTCCTTGAAACTTAATGCTGGATTATATTTTCTGGCTTCTTATTCTATGTCTTCCCCAAGTCAAAATATTAAAATAAATGTCATAGCATACTAATAATTGGCATGTTAAATTGTGTTATCCATTTTCGTTGGTCACTACTATGAGGCATCAGCAGATTTACTCCGGTCATCAAACAGAAGAGTCTCTTTCTCCCTATTGCTTCCCAAAACACAACTCGGTTAATCCCCACTGGCTCTATTTGTCTCATTAGTTGCTAAGAAATGGATTTTTTGTGTGGAGTGTTTATTTTCCCTTTAACAAACAGCAACAACTGGTCTAACTGTTCAGCCATTTTTGTTTTTGTTTGGTGATTAGGGACTTGAATTATGAATGGATGCTATAAATGTCACTGAGAGAAAAAGCGCACTGATCAAAACCGGGCATCCCAAGCTGCCGTGAATAAGCGTTACGACAATAAAGTTTTGAAGACTCGCCGTCTAGTGTCTCCAAACTTGGGATTTAGTCAAAGTTCTGATTTTTAAAAATGACAGACATGCTGTTCAGCAGGTCTCACAAGCTGCTGCCATGCTCACTGTAGCACTGTCACACAACACACTGTGTGCATTGACAGGCCTGCAAAAAGGACGTGCTACAATGTATTACAAGTAGTCACAGCCAATGGAATAATAAACTGTAGAAATCAGTCAACATGAACATTTTCAGTAGACAAGTGAATTTGGTACGTCAGGAAGGTTCAGCTGCAGTCACTGGTGAACTCCATAGGAGCTGTACTTTTGAAACAATAACAGCAGATAAAGTGTTTTATTTGTGACAAATTGCACTAATTGGAACAGGGTTTTTTTTTTTAATTCAACGTTTTAAACTGAGTCGATGTTCATTTCTCAATGAACATCCTTTAAACACAGAAAAACTCTTAATGCATGAATTTGAACAAAATTCCTAAATTACGTTAAAAGCACAACATAGTTGTGCTTTTTTCCCCTTTGTCGCCGCAGTCATGAGTTAAATTTTCATGTTTTTGTCTTCTATGTTCTACTTCCAACTTGCTGAATAGCCTTTTATATCAATAAGGATTTCTTTTGATTGATTTATGTCATGTTCGCAAAGTAAATTCATACTTTGACTCACGTTTCTCTTTATACACCTTTTAATTTTGTGACATGTAAAAAACACCTAGATTTGTCAGTTCAAATGAAATTCCCGGAAATACACTTATTTTTGATTTTTGGATTCAACAACAAAAAAATTAAGACAAAAATATCAAGGTGAAAAGAATGATGATTTATGACAGCTCTATAATTAGGTGTTTTGCTAGGAGCAAATCTGCAGCTGCTGTTTACACTCAGCTGCAGTGATTACGCTACTGATTGCTCCATGCCCTCAAAAAGATTTTGATTTGCGACCGCAGGTTGCATTCTCAAGAGTTTCCAGTGGCAAAGTAAAGTATGACCAGAATACCATTGATTATCTTCTGCTTTTTCTCCTTCCCTCCACCCCCTAATTCCTGTTAGCAACACAGCCAGGTATTACTGTTGAAGTTTTACTCTGATAACGCCATGATAGTTTTTCCAGGAGATCTGCTAAATTATTTAAACTCAAGAAAATGCAAGCTGGTGGGAAATCTATTGATTTAATGTGTGAGAACAAGCATAGAGAATTGGAAATAGGATTCAATCTATATTTTAGAGTATATTTGTAATGTTTATGTTGGAATGGGGGAGGGGGGCTTCTGGGGGATCAAAATATTATTTACAACTGCGGAAACTGAAAGAAAATCTTTTGATTTAAAAAGGGCCATTAAACCGACATCACAAGTCACAAAAAGAGGCAGAACATTCATGACAAAATGTGCCTTGATCACACTTTTAACATTTATGCTGTAAATCAGACTGCCTGTGAATTTCAGTTCTTTAAAACGCCGTGGCCATCATCACTGGCGCAAACACAATCCTGGAGTCAGTCTCCTGCTTTTTGTCCCCAAGTGAAATCGTTTGTTTTGACATGAAGGTCTTCTGAAAGCTGTTGAAGCATGCCCACTAAGACGTATTACGTAACCCGTGTCCAGCCAGCGCAATAATGAACGTTGCTTGAATGAGACCCAGAATGTTGACATCAGTGGTCATGCAGCTAAATCAGAACATGTTCTTTTTCTTCACCCCCCCACATTTTACTCCCAAGCAATACAGAATAGCGTCTCTCAGTGTGACTCCTGCTGCGGTTCGACGTTAGCTTCGAGCGTCAGCATTAAGACGGTTTAAAAAACCACAACACATTTCCGACAGCCACCCAGTTGAGGCATCAAATCTGAGATAACCACTCATCCACGCTAACTGATATTTACGTCGCTTATATTCACAATTTACTTCAGTCATAAATCCAAACTTATCGCCTATTAAGTCATTTAAAAAACAAACAAACATTTACCGCCTTCGACCACACACCAGAAATAAAGTTCACTGGGTGAACTCGTGTGGATTCTTTGTTTACAAACTCTCACTGAACGTTATTTTTGTACAGCCTCGATAGCAAGCTAAGCTATTTAACCAAACACAAATACAAACCGGGACACGTTGGGAAGTTGACAGCACTTCTTGTTTTTTACGGTGAATATTAGAATTGTTGTTTGCGGGGTTGTGTTTTTAAAGAAACGCACGCAGCTGTGTAATTATTTCTTTTCGAGAACAGAGGCGCTAGCTCCTCGGCTGCTCTGACAGCTAGCCTGCCCGGCTAGCACTTTAGCTATTTGCTAGCTTAGCCTAGCCATGTAGCACGTGTTTGTGATTTATAAAATAATTAACGAGCTGACGGTGGTCAGCTAAACGGGAAGACTGTTGTTGTCCGAGGACCTCGCTGATTGAGCACTTTGCGGACGCTTTGATTCCGCTCGGTTTAACGCAAGGCGCGGTTATAGCGCAACGCAGAGACTCAGAAAAAGGTCAATAATGCTATGCATGTTTGTTCTCCAAAGAATAGCCGGACCCCGTCATCCAACAACAGAGCAGACCCCCAAACCAATGGACAGCCAGCAATGGAAGCTAACTAACCTTAGCGGCGGGGCAGGAGACACCATTCGGTGGTAACGACGTTCAGAAGGTAACGTCCCAGTCCTCGTCAATCGGCTTAAAGTGGCTTAAAAGGCTCGGCGAAGTTTTTAGTTTGTTTTCGTTTTCATTTGCTGCGTTAGCGGATTTCTGCGGTGTCGAGCCAGTTCCTGCACAAGTAATGCTACTCCCTGAACCGCTGCTGCTCAGACCATTGCGGGGCTGAACCGCCTCTCTGGTTCTCAATAGGTCCTTCGCTCCTCCTCCTCCTCCTCCTCACTGGAGGACCCACTCCGACAACAAATTCACCCATCAATCTGCGTGCAGTTAAATCTTTTTTTTTTTTTTTTTTTAAATAAGAAAAATTCTAAATGCTTATTTCTCTGAACAACTCATTGTTTTGTGCATCTTAATTTTTTGGGGGGAACGGGGGTACTCTTTCAATAAATAATAAATGCTGTATTAATGTTTTAATTCAGGTGTGTGTGACATGTGCAGATGAGTAGATCCACAGTTGCATAACAATTGAACCAGAAGTTATTTGTGAGATGCTCACATTTTGGTATCCTGCAAGCAACACTGTCAAAGAAAACTTTATTTACTTAAAACAGAAGAGCAAAAATGATTCCTATCTGATTCACAGACGCCGTATGGATATTATCATTTGTTGTGTGGAATACAATGCAAAACTATAGCACACATACAAGCACATATTTTGCATCGTTTTTTTTTTTTTTTTTGAGAGCCCTGTTTCACCCAACTGACAGGCAGTGCACAGCAACAGCAGTGTTATCTGCACTACACTACAACGCTGCTGCTTTCGCTAGCATGTCATCTAACAGAGTTTAAGAATTTAACATTATTTTAGCTATAAAGGACCTTTGACATACATAATATTTACTTTTACTACAAACTGTATGGTTCATCTTTACAACTTAACACCTTATTAAGAGGTGTTGTCATCTCTTAATAAGGTTTTAGCAGTTCTAACTTTAAGATTGTGGTTCCTTAAAAAAAAAAAAGGTCAGAGTCTGACAGAATATAGAAATTCTACGCTGTGCAGATGACCTGAAGTGTTTTATCTTAGAATGCACAAATGGCTGGTTGTATTGACCATTTGTCCAAAACTAAAATAAAAAAAAAAAAAACTAAACTCAAGTGTCAAGTGATCAAAGCAAAGTGAAATAAACTCAAATAGTCAATATAGTGCACCGTGGGTTCTGGCTTATGCAGTCCAAAAATGGGGTCAAAACAGTTGAAACGCAGCTCTTTTGTTTGCTTTATTCCATTTTTAGCTAAAAACAAGTTACAGGCTCTAATTCCTGCACCTGATCTCACTGATGACTGACGAGAAACTGATAAAAAACCATATGACCACCCATGTGCCTAAAGACTTACCTACCTCCTACATATTTAACACACCCACTTCCCAAACTGAAATTAAGTAACTAATTAAGTGAATTACTAACAAAAAAAACCTACTTAAAAAGAACAAATTAAAAAAAACATTCTAATTATAAATCAACTGGAAAATAAGCAAATAAAAATAAACTAAATAATCTAAATTCTAAAATTTTACTGAAAAATTGAGAAATAGCTCCTACAGCTGGTAAAGGGATTACAAAGATCACTAAGGGTTAGGGAGCATCTTCTACAGTATTGTGACCACTGCAGTGGACGTTATTGGGAATTTGATTTCTCAGTGACGAATGCCATCTCAGCATGAGGTGAAATCATTCTAGAAAGGTGGGGAAGGGATGTATGGTGGCGCAGTCAGTAGCACTTTCTTGAAGCAAGAAAGTGATGGATTTGGATCCTGTTACGGGTCTTTCTGCATCGACTTCTCCCAGTGCGAGCATGGGTTCTCCCCAGTTACTCTATCTTCCTCTCATTGCCCAACAGCGTGAATGTAACACTGATTGCTCCATGTAAATTTCGAGCACGAACACGATTGTTTCACACAAACTAAGATCTCCCCTTTTTCAAACTTATGTGAATCGATTAAGGTAGTTCTGACAATTTTTCCCACCTTTTGTAGGCGATAGCCAGACTCCTCAGCCACCGCAAGACTCACTCGTGGAGGTAGTTGTCAAGCCCCTGCTGTTGAACTGCACCTCCTCTCATTAGGACTGAACAATCTGGCAAATAAATTCCTGGACGCCAAATTAAACAAAATTTATTTTGTGAGATTGCCCCCACTATGACGCAAGAGCAAACCCCCGCCTCTGCTCCAACGTGAACTCTGGGTCAACTCAAGCACAGACTCGCCGGGAACTCTACATCTGTGCGCCTCGACTCCCATGGAGAAGTACAAGCTGTGAATACACCAGCTTCACATTGAAGGATAGTCCTTCGGTGATCCCCAGCATCTCCTGCTGCGTACATGTTTGATGACTGTGCCGAAGCCAGTGGCCTGCAAATGATCTGAAACCTTTCAATCGGCTTCACGCAGATACGATGGCTGCTAAAACCACCACCCACGCTGCAGCATTCGCCGTCACAGTCAATCTTTTTGCGTAACGAAAAGAAACGGACGTCTGTAGCAAAATGGTTAAACAAAGAAATGCACAGTTCTGTAGCATTCTGGCATGTTTGGACAGACTGCAGCAATCAGCTTCAATTCATTTTGTGCTTTAAAATGTTTGATTTCCATTGGTATTTGGCACAGAAGTAACTGGAACTCTTCAGACACGCCATATCTTGAACTAAATCTGAGAAGAAGCGTTTCCTATTATGTCAGATGGAATTGTTTTCCTTCCCTGTCTTTTCTTTTCTTTTTTTTCTTTTTTTGTAGCTCTGTGGGTTTGGGAGCGCTTCCCCCTCAAACCATCTGTAAAACCACCATCTCCTGACTCAACTATCAGAACAGGAAAGATAACTGTTTGTTTCAGCTGTGTTATCTGGACTTAGGCGGGTGCCTGAATAATACATCCGCCTATCTCTGCCTCGGTTTGCGGCTCAATGATAAAACACAAACGCTTCTCATTCGCCGGGTTTGACATTCACAGCTGTGGTCATCTGCAGCCAGACGAACAGAAGAATCACCTCAAGATCTGATAAATATTTGGACACATTTTCACGATTGCTAAAAATGCATTTTGCAACCCACTTCAGTGAAGGCAAAGGGTTGGGGGGACAGGGGGAGTTGACCTTAAAATATCTCTTTCCACTAGTTACAGGAATAACTGGAGTGGGTTGTTTTAACAGATCCAGGAGCCACATGAAAGGCAGCGCTGAGAGTGACTGCATCAATTAACGGACTTTGAAGATTTCAAAGGGCGTCAGCTGGAGGATGTGCTGCAGACAGAGGCTGTAGTTGTGAATTAAAAGATGAGCAAAATGTCCTGAAGGAAAACTAATTATGGTGGAGCAAAACAAGCATAATAAAAGATACTATAGATTGGTGGTTCTAAGAGCTGCTCTTCAACACTGCTGGCGCGCTGGAAGCAATTTTTACGGTGCTCTCAGCTATTCTTGCTTACCTTTGTAAAAATGTATGAAAAGCCTGATGATATGTTCATCTTTTGTTGCTGTTGCATAAGCCCTCACTGAAACTGTTTATGCATTTCTGCCTACATGTAATGGCAAAGTCCTTCTGCCGTCTTTGGCTAAACATTTTTGGATCAATATTGATCTGAAATATCCCCCCAAAAAATGATTAATTTTTGAGCCTTAAAAAAAACTCAAACATGTCAGAGACTTCCTGAAAATGCTGTGATGCAAATACCAGTGGAACTAGGAGAATTGTTTTATTATAGCTGGCAGCTAAACTAGCTGCTAAATAGGTTAGGCAGTTAGCAGCCTGCATGCATTATTGGAAGAGCAGCAGGGTTGAGTCAAATGGCCCTGGGAAAATAATCTTTTGCTTCAAAGATGGTGTCAGAAAATGAACCTGCTTGCTTTTCTCTCACAGTTTGCAACACCAATGTCCTCCTCGTTATCAAGCCGTCGGCCCAGGTTGATATTTCACAGATTCGCAGCCCACAGGACTTTACCTGACCGCCTCTCGACTCGCCGCAACAAAGCGGGCAGAAACGGCGCAGCGCCTGTTTCGCAGAAGAGCGCAGAGACTGCCTGCATTGTTGGAATTCCGGCTCCACTTCCTGAGTCTCGCCGCACCTGGTCAACTGCCAGCACGCGGTTTTCTCTCTCTCCTCCCTCCCTTCTCTCCTGCAGAGATCGCGTGTTGGCTGAAATGTCGCCGCTGGGACACGGACTGCTCCAGCTTCACATTCTTCAGCTATTAAATACGTCGCGTCTCAGAGCTTGCCATAAATATATTTTTTAATTTTTTCTTTTCTGTCACAGAGAGTTAATGACATTTAGTTTAAAACTGAAAAAAAAAATGTGGAGTCTGTTCTGGTGTGCTTATCCTTTAGTGATATATTTAGATAATGATGTGCATGTCACATCATTAACGACAATTAACAACTGTCGTTAATTGTTGCTTCAATTTTTTTTTTGTCTTTTGTTGTCCATGGCTGCCGGGAGCCATGACAGACATATTCACACTTGTTCAATATCCAAGCGCAGCCCTGTAATGGACCTGGCACCGGCGCTGCCGCTCTGCAGCTCAGTCCGCCATCTGTTCGCCTGCATGGATCCACGCAGCGTTCAGTAAAGTGGACATTGTATGGATGCGTTCCAACACGAATGTCACGCAATCAGTGCTCACCAGGAAATGAGCCAACAAAAATACAAGAATCAGTTCCATCTGTTTTTAATGGGAACAGGGGCGCTGTGTAAGTTTTGACAACTCCAAGGGCCCCTGACCGACAGGGGGCCCTCCGCAATTTATTTATTTATTTGTTTATTTAGGCCCGAGCAGCTAAGCGCTGCGAAGGCCTATTGTTTCTGTACTGTTTCTTATTATTATTATTATTATTATTATTATTCTTCCACCCAAATGAATTGGCTTTTTGAGGGCTTTATCATATTCAAAAACTCACCAAACTTGGCGGACGCGTAAAGGGAGTTTCAAAATTTTGTATTTTAAGGTCATTGCAAAAATCCCATAAGAAATGGCTCAATAGCGCCACCTACAAATTTTCAAAGGACCCTTTGCTATTCACTTACTTCATTGTAGAG